TGGTTAGGGAAACATCTTCTAAGCGGTTCTTTAGAAGAAAATATCCGAACGGAACTTTCGTCCCACCAATGGAATACAAAAGAAATGGGGATGGTCAAATGAAGGTGATAATGAGGCCGGGCGGGAAGATTATATTGCGCTAATCTTCCAGATGTCGTGAGTTTGTCTGCCATGAAAACCAGTGTTGGAATCCTGGTATTTTCTCGAACTCCAATACCGTTGGAATATACGCAACTACTTCAGCTAATAAACAGACCATGTTATCTTTTGATTCTGTCTTTAAGCTTCTTTTTAAACGACGGTTTAATCGTCCGTGTAGTATAGCAGCACTCAAAAGTTATCATATTGTCGAATATACTTTCTACTCAGTGTCCACCGGAGAAGTCAGGTACATCAGCGGGTTGACCTGAGAGATTACTTCGCTGAGGATGAAGATCCGTGTTTCACCCAATGTCAGTGTCTGACCCGACATGTAGACACGTGATCGACCAAGCTGAGCCTTGGATGTGCAGTCGTAGAAGAGCCAACATGATGTGTTGATATATAAATACGCACGTGGGGAAAAAAGGAGAGTCTCTTACATCCAGGGCCCATGTTTGACAGACGATCATCTTACGAGTGAGATTAGGTGACGTGTTTTCGTTAATGCTTTTACGAGACGATAACGTTGCAAAACCAAAGGCCTTTTAATAGCTTCGCAGTGTAGATCTGATTATTTATCTGCATGTTGAATATCAGAAATTTACAGAGAAGACACAGAGATAAATAAATCTACTCTTCGTTTTCGATCAATAAGCGTTGATTTTATTACTATCTCTTCTGACAGTTGGGGTGTAGAGCTAAGATTCAGAAAGGATACAAATATGGAAGCACATTTTTTTTCCTGAAATTCCTTCGCCTAGATCTTCAAAAAATTCTACCATGTTTAACAAACAGGGTAACGTTTAAAACTTAGTAGAAAAACGAAGGTTTTCTAGAACTTTTAGAAAGACGTTAAAATCGAAAAGCGATCTGGTTGCAGACAATTTTCAATTCTTTTTATTAAACGTTTTCTATTTCTTATCGTCACAAGTCCTGTATCCAACATGTGCTGTAGCCATAACAGCAATGGTGTGTCTTGGGCAAGATTACCCGACGGAGCATATAACCCTTTAGGCTGGTTTTTGAATTCAGAAATGTATTTTATTTCTTAAACTGGTGTCACCTCAAAGTCCTGTTAGCCCATAGCAAGAGGTGGTGGCGGAAGTTATGGATTCATACTTTTCAGGATGCACGGTGGAGTAATGGATAGCGGCCTTGATTGAGGAATCGGAGAGCCGAGTTCGAATTCCAGTCGAATCATGTTCTAATGCCCCTGGGAAAGGTATGAACCCTCTTTTTCTACCCCCCAGCTATGGGTAAATAGCATGACAGACCTGATTCTATAGACTTGGATGGCAGCTGGTCTAACGCAGAAAGAAATGGCAAACTACTGCAGGAAATAATCTGCCTCGTCAGTCATATATCGAAAGATATATGATCGACTAAGAGTGTATCGCGCATGGCACATAGCTGATTGACTTTTTTGGTTTAGTTTGTTTTACGGTAATGGGTTATTTAATGCCGACAAAATTTCTATTGCTTGTAATATTTTTTTTCAAAAATGTATTGCTGGAAATATTTTTTTCCTTCAAAAATCTATTTCAGGTAATATTTTTTCTTCAGAAATGTATCGTTAGAGATCTTTTCTTTCAAATATGTATTGTTGGAAATATTTTTTTTTTAAATATGTATTGCTGGTAATATTTTTTTCTTCAATTATATATTTATGGCAATATTTTTTTTCCTTCAAAATATCTATTTCAGGTAATATATTTTCATCAGAAATGATGAACATTTGAAATTGTAGAGGAAAGCTTTTTATTATTGGGTTAACTTTAGAGCTTAAAAAATGTCTGTCATTTAAGACTGTGTGTCATTCCTCGCTGAATAACAGCATTAGAGCCAACGAAATATGTGGAAGAAAATAAGTGAAACAGGTAACAGAAAAAAAAAGAAGAAATAAAAAATCAAAAGAAACAAAAACAAAACGTGTTTGTCATAACAGGAACAACAGACACTCCTTGCAAAAGGAATTCTGATAAGCAGGAAAAATAAAAAAATGAAAAAAAAATGTGTTGAAATTTTGTATATTCCACTTGTTAGGTATAATGTCAATTTTAAAATAGGATTTTTTAAAATCAATCAATATTTATTCTATTTTTATTTTTTTTTATATAATAAGGTTCACACTGTACAATGCTCAGAGGCTACTCGAGGTAGAGGGTTACATTAGAAGGTAGTTTTTATGTATAGGAGTTTAAGATCGGGGACACATCTTCTTGTGAGATTGTTCAGTGGTTCACGGGAAGAAGCTGTTCGAGTGGAGCTTACTTCTCGCCGATAGAATACAGAGAGAATGTGGTTGGTTTGCTACTATGTAAGTGTCATGGCAGGTCCTAGCTTGGTGAACCAGGAGATGCAGTTCGTCCGAGCACTTTCCATGTTAGTAGCGATAGAACAGTGAGAGACTGGCCACATCCTCCCGCCTGTGAGAGAGAGAGAGAGAGAGAGAGGTTGGAGTGTGTAAAAAGATTCTTCTCCAACAAAGATTCGGAGACTCTTTTGAACTCTATCTAGAAAGCGAGGTCTGGGCAGCTCCTACCCAAATATGGCAACAGTACTTCATTTTCGGCCCAATATGTCTCTTATAAAGGTAGAGGATAGAACGTATATAGAAATTTCACTTGAAGTCCGGTTTGAGAACCAATATTCTTTCAAGGCACGGTGCTTCCTCGAGGGAACATCCGTTCATCGTGACTGGCGGTAGTTCGAGGTCTGATCTGCGGTGATGGAATGTAACCAGTTTGGTTTTAGAGGCATTGAAGTTAACCAGCTAGTTTTTTTTTCTCCACTGGGGAGCTAGTGTTAGATTGGAGGAGAGGTCAGCCGCCAATCTTTAAATATCAAGATTTTTATTAAAGCTTAGTCTCACTTAAACCCAATCATCTTGCACCAACACTCGACCGGCATTGAAACGAGAATCTGTTGTCTTTCTGTGCAAGAATAAGTCCCTTATATTAAATAATAATAATAATAATAATAATAATAATCTCACGAGTACAGTCCACACCTTACGAAGGGTTTTATGTGTGCGTGTGAGTGTTTTATTTTTTTTAGTTGGTCAGTCGAAAATGTCATGATATCATTTCTAACCTTAGGTCTCTGGGCGGGTCTCTGAATGTACACACCAGAAATCAAAGGAAATAATAATAATAATAATAATAATAATAATAATAATAATAGCTTGCTGTAAGATAAAGAAACTGAATCATAAAGAAATAACTTGATATATGCAAGCGCAAAGTTAGTCACTCCAAAATTTGGTATATACGAAAAGAAACACATAGAGCAAGAAACGTGCCGAAATAAGATGGGAGAAAAGACTATAACAAAATCATAAAAGTTGACATAAACAAGTAAAATTAGATATAAAATAAAAAAAAATATCTGCAGCATATTAACACTGAAGGAATACAAACCATACATGAATGGGTTGGAAGTTATTGAAACAGGACAGGAAAAAATGAATGAACATGAAGGTGACGCTTGTATCCATTATTATAAGTGTACTTGGAACCGAAGAGCCTCGTGACGGGTTAGAAAGAACTGAAAATTCGGGTAAGAACATCATTACCAATCCAGAATTGTGAGGAGACTTCAGCATCTTGGAGTTGTTTTGTCATTTAATCACCAGTGAAAATCACCATGTACTACTAATAGGAACGGTCAATGGGTAGACAACAGTAACAACAGCAACAACAACAATAATAATAAGCAGGGAATATGGATTTGATGTAAACGAGAAGTGGCATCGGTACAAACTGGATACGCTTATGGAGAACGAAGAAGACATCAAATACAAATCGATCGTAATGTTGAACATACCATTGTCAAGAGATCGGCTGAGGAACTCAGCAGATATATAAATGTCCACACGGACATAGCACATTTGTGGGATATGGGCACGACCAGAGTCGCCATCATCAGTGGTGCATTAGGTTCCATTCTCAGGTCTTTGAATAGTAACCTGGAAATGCTTGGAACCAAATCCCATGTCCCGACCATGCAGAAATCAACATTACTAGGAACTACCAACAACCTATGAAATGTGCTATTTGAGGTCAAAACGACTTTATGGAGAGCATTAATACTTTTAGATTTCGGGATGTCTCTCCAATATAAATGTTTTTGCATTATAAAGGAATTATTTGATAAGTACCGGCATCTGAATTGGTGTTGGATTTATTTTTCTTCCTAATTATATCTCTGATTGTCTTGACAAAAATCCTTGTATTAGGGATAACTAATTTATTTACAAGTTTAGTAGAAACAGTGATAGGATTATGAATTTTGTGTTGTTATTAAAAGCGTTATCGATAGCGTCTAGATTTTTAGATTTGTGTTTCGCTGAATTCGGGACGCCACGAATTATACTAACGTTTGTTTAACAAATCGAATGCTTGCATAACATGAATAACGGATGAAAATATAACAATCGAACAATAAAAAAATCCTAAAATTTCCAAATTCTAATATATATATATATATATATATATATATATATATATATATATAGATAGATAATGTTATTGGAAAATATACATACATATGCAAAATATATAAATACCCATACATGTATATTTTCAGAAATTTACGTTTTCGCATTTACGATTCCAATGGAATAAATTATGACCATGGAATATTAGTGTTTTAAGCCTTTTTATATATATATATATATATATATATATATATATATATATATATATATATATATATTTTGCTTGATTGGTTGATTTATTTGTTCTTAAAGCTTATTAATCTTTTTCCAGGTTATTTAAAGTTTAAAATATTTTTAAATTGCAAGAATATTTGGAATAATAATAATTTTTACTGATACAAGTTCTACTAATTAACCAGAGCTTACGGCACCAGGTATTCCCAAGCGGTCACCCATCGAGGCAATGACCAGGCTCGACATTGCTTAACTTTGGTGATCGTACGAAAACCGTTGTTTAAACGTGATCCTCCTCCTCCTCTCTCTCTCTCTCTCTCTCTCTCTCTCTCTATATATATATATATATATATATATATATATATATATATATATATATATATATATATATATATATATATATATATATATATATATATATATATATATATATATATATATATATATATATATATATATATATATATATATATATATATATATATATATTGTAGTGGTTCAACGAGAGAAAAGTATGTATATTAAAATTAAATTTCTTTCTTGAATTCAAGAAAGAAATTCGGATTACTAACACAAACAGAGAATGTCTCATATCGAGAATATTTCATTGAACATGAAGAAAAATTAATTATTTTTAATAATATGTAGAAATCTCCACTTTTACCTGAAGACGGTCATGAGACCAGAAACACGTGTCGTAAAATCATGTAAAACAAAGCATAATATTTTTCTAAATAAATCCACATTACAACCAAAAACGTTTTGGCACCTCTCTTTTCTTTTTAATATATATACATACATATATATATATATATATATATATATATATATATATATATATATATATATATATTAATCAAACAACTTTTATTGAGAAATAGCCGACAAGGTCTGTCTGTTTAATTTTTATTATATTTTTCTAATTTCTGAAAAAGGTGTTGAGCTTTGAGCTCGAAGTTGTGGATAAACGGTCCGAAGTTCACATTTTGTTATTTTTGCTCAAGTATTTTCGACCATCTCAGTCATTTTCAAGACCCAATGTTTTGTCTGTGTGATAGGAAGAATCCTTTTGTCAGCATTGTAGTATTATTTGGAAAGCTGGAAGTTTGAAATAGTCTACGGTGACGCCAAGTGGAACGAAGTTGCATTTCCAAAGATATAAATTGTTGAATTACCTCTTGTTAGATTATAAAACCTTTTTTTTCTTTTTTTTTAATATCTTTGTTCACTCTATTCGACTAGATTGTCGTACGTTACCTTCCCTCGTCATTTGACATCTAGCCAACCAGTATATAAATGAAAAGGAAAGACTTTATATGAGGTTTAAAAAGTTATCCCAAATGACTCACTTCTGTTGTAGAAAAGTGCTTGACAGGAATCTTATGGAGCCTTTTATTTAAAGAGGGAGCTAAAGAATAGGAGAGTCATTGTTAGCGATGGCGAAAAGAGATCTGAGTTTTGCCAGTCGCATGAGTGAACTTCAACCAGAGTTCACAATTGGATGTCTGGATGCATTGGACCATAAATCAGCCTCCATTGTCAGATCACCTTGGACTTGCTACTTGATTTTGTCTCTTCGCCAAAGGCCGACGAAATAATATACGTATTTTTATGGGACGTGTCAGAGATTCTGATTTAACCATCAAGAAGAATTTGGTTCATCAATTCACGTAGATCTCGCTGATTTTTATGTTGTAGCCTTTTAACGTCAAGTAGACTCCAATAAAACAAAATCATGTCCATTAGAAGGATTCGGTTGTGCTAAGAGAATCATTCTCCAGGAGAAAAGTAGATAAAAACCCTCAAAAATATTTTCTTGGTCGAATAAAGTCTGGTAGAGGGCTATGAGGTAAAATTATCTCAATGAAAATAGGCAATACATATTTAAATGTCGGACGTTGTTTTTATTGAGCTGGTGGATAATTATCACGCATTTTTGTAGGCGAGTCATTTGTTTAATAAAAATTGCTGTTTTGTTTTTTTTAATAAAAATATTATTTTATTTTCAGGTTATAAAAATTCGTGTCGATAATCATACACTCCGGAATAATTTAAAAATGTCATTGTTGAATTTTTATGTTTCTTTTTTCATTATAAATATTGTTCAAAAACGCCTGGTAATTATGCACCAACCTAATATCTTTCATTCATTCATTCATTCATTCATCCTTCCTTCCTTTCTTTCTTTCTTTCTTTCTTTCTTTCTTTCGTTCTTTCTTCTATTCATTGAACTACAAAATTCCGTTGCTCAGGCTGGAGAATCTGATATCACAAAATGTTAGGGTCGCTTTTTACAAAAATGCGAATTCCCACGTAGAAAATTTTGAACTTCCAAATAGAAAATTCGAACTATAAAATCTACTCAGAACAGGAATATTTTTTTTCTTCTTCAGTGTGAATTCAAATATTTATTTCTAGATTTAGCAATCGGCCCTACCCGACTACTACTGTGCTGCATAAATCGGTATAGACCGACGAATACTGCGACAGAGCGCTTTACAACATAGGTTAAAAGGTAAAGATACGGACGCAGGATTTAATCGAGAAAAGATCCAATGCTTATATCACACACACACACACACACACACACACACACACACACACACATATATATATATATATATATATATTGGGTTGGTGTATAATTATCAGGCGTTTTTTAAGCTAATTATTTGTTAATTGCTGTTTTGTTTATTTAAAAATGTTATTGTTGAATTGTTGTTTCTTTTTACATAATATTGTTTAAAAAATGCCTGATAATTATGCACCAACACAATATTTCATATATTTCAAGTATATCCATTCTGTTGCTGTTTTTATTATAAAGGTTTTGAAAGAAAAAACAAATCGAACACCAAATAGCAAGGATTTGGAATAATTTAAATCCAAATTCCTGCAATTAAATTTGAGGCCTAAAATATAACAATCGAAAAAGATTAAGATTGAAAACTCTTATAATTTTCGTTGAACGCTTGTAGTGGTATGTTAGTAAGAATGGACCATTTGTAGATGTTTGTTTATGGCTGCATGAATAACATGACCATACAATTTATTTATATTTAACGTAAAATACCACAAAACATGAAATACAAGAAGGAACAAAATGGTTTTAAAACAATAACATTTATATTTATTTTGTGTATTGATGTACATGCATTAAAGTCCTGTTGGTGTTATGTCCCTTAGACTGCGAATATTTTTTTTTTATCTCAGCTCACAAAAGTTGAATTAATTACAAAGCTGAGAAATGCTGAATAAACTGTAGCTTTAGAAGAATATTTCAAAGAGAAAAGTTCTTGTTGTTTGTTTAGAAATGTTCTGTATGTTTGTAATGTAGTTCGGAAAATTTACTACGTACGTGAATGCGTGAATATGCTTTTAACGTCTGACCGCCCATCGTCGAGACGAGAATCCTTAAGGTCACATCTTCGCAGGAAGAGAAGAGAAGAAGAAGAGAGAGCAGCAAGATTGTGTCTGCTATTTGTAATTAATGTTATCACGTAACAGGCTCACAGAAAATAGCGGAAAAACATGACTTGGTCACGCAAAAAAATATTTGTATGTGGGTGGATTGCAACGCCAACTTGTGTGTTTATTGACCAATTAGAAGCTGATATTTCCTGAAAATATTTACTAAGCTGAGTAGGCTCTCTAATCCACTTTTTGCACAAAATTCAGCATTGATAAGAAAGTGGTATCTGGATGCTACCCGCTCATAGTTCTGGTTAATAATACTGTAAAGAAACACTGGAACAAAATGGTTGAGTGAAGAACAGGTTTAATCACATGAGAGACAGGGATTATTAATATAGTAATAAAGAATACGGTAGTTCAATACGGCAATGCGTACGGCTCAAAAGCTATGCTTTGGGATCTACTTTGTGACGACTGTTCCAATGAGCAAGCAGATGGATGAATCAATGTTTAAACAATTAGTGTCGATAAAGTAGGTCGTATTTTTAAGGAACAAAAACAAAAGAGATGAAGACATTACTTGTAATAATATATTAAGGGAACATATAAAATACGAAATTTGGCATTCGAAACTGTTGATGTAAGGATGGATTGCTAACGTCAGTGGTAAATTTACTGTAAGATTACGGACAAGAGCAGATATAATCATATTAATGGATGTATTAATATCGGAGGACATTTTAAATTACCGTTAAAATACACATTACGACGTATTTCTGTTGAGAAACAAGCCGTAAGAATGTTCAGAGAAATACAAAAAGAAAAAAAAGAAGAAAAAAGAAATCTTCGCGAAAGACAGCGAAAACAAAGCGTAACTATATTGGCCATATTTTAGTCCCACTAATTTCAAAATTATATATATATATATATATATATATATATATATATATATATATATATATGTGTGTGTGTGTGTGTGTGTGTGTGTGTGTGTGTGTGTGTGTGTGTGTAAATAACTAATGTGTAGTTTTCAAAGAGTGAAGATTAAGTCCGATGCGCTCGAAAAATTAACCGAAAAGATACTACCGGACTGTACCGTGTAATTTTGGATATCTTATAAATAAGGCCTTCCTTTTATTTGTCCCATCCATAGAATACCTGCCTTCTTATATGTGCTTAAATTTCCCAACAAGAGCCGAAAACTTCAATATAATTATTTTAATTAAATTGAGTTAAAGTAAGCTCTGTTCCATGTCATGTTAAGGTGGGGGTGTCTAAATTTGAAACGGAAGATGTTTTCGCCTAGTCTGGTTTACGTGTCTATGGAGATTTATTTACTTTTTTATTTTATTTCTTTATGAAAGACATTTGTGCATATAAAAACTGCCGTCACATTTGTTTTTAGACGACTTCATAAAGGGTTATCTTTTTTAGTAGGGTATTTAAACGATTTATTTGGGCAATGGATTATAAAAGTTATTATATTGTATGCTTGTTTTTAGCTAATTATTCAAAGCATAAATCTGATGATGCCGGCAAAAAACCGTTAACTGATGTCTATTGTTTAATAGGTTTTTATTATTTAGAAACTTAATAATGTGCAGTTTCTCATGGAGGCACAAAGGGCATGGGTCATCCCAAGCTTTACAAGTCCTAGTCCTGTTTATAATTTTCCATTTTTCTTTAGGTGTCCTATTTATTTCCTTCAGATGCCAAAAATATTTAGATAGGGAAGTTTGATTTCTTATATTTATATTGTTGAAAGAGCACTGAAGAGGTAAAAAAAGACAAGGAAAAAAAAGACAAAAAGCAAACGCAGAAAAAAGAAAATAAATATAAAGAATAAATAACAAATTCTTAAAAATGACCGA